AAAAGGGGAGTCTCATGGAGGACTTGCGGCCGTCCCTGGAATGGTGGCGCTGCCGATGGGCCACTGTCGAGCCGCTCTCCAGTGACGCTCTCGGTGCTGTGCCTCCTTGCCCCATCTCACCGCCCACCAAACCACCCCCACCCAACCCGAAGGCCCCGATCTGCCCTCCATTTCCAGTGGGGGGGGGGTCGGGAAACATGGACAAAACACATATGAAGCCCGTACCCCCCCCAACCCGAAATTCGGGCGAAATTCGGGTTTTCGGGTTGGGGTGGGGTGGTTTGGTAGGATCAGCCCACGCTGCCGCGCCCCGCGGCCCGGGCGCAGGACCCAGGTCGGCCCCGGGTAGCCGTCGGGGGCGGCAAAGAGGGGGGTGGTGACTGGGGGGGGTGGATATTATGGCGCGGGCCATGATACCTCCTCAGATTTCATGGCGCCTCCTCTCATTTCATTACGTCCCTGCTCCCCCCCCCCCTGGGCCGCGCACGTGCCGCCCGCCACGATCTGCGCCCCCCCCCCCCCCCCTGGACGCCCCCCTCTTGGCCGCCCCCGAGGCCGCAAGAGTGGGCCGCAGTTGGGCCCCAAGGTGGCCCGCCAGTGGGCCTCTCTCTCTGTGGCCCGCGGTGCTGCTCCGGCCACCGCCCGCGCTCCCGGGGGGCCGCCGCCTCGGGGGGCCGCCCGCGGACCCCTCCCCGGGGCTTCCCCGGAGGGCCCTGCGCCCTCGGGGGGACGCTCGCGGGGCCTTGGCATCGCTCGGACGTGTGCATTTTTCCTTCGGCGAGGACCTTCGAGGAGCATCCTCGACCATCTGGCGAAAAAACCATGCACGAAACCGAACAAAAACAGGAAATGAACGTCCGAGCGATGGCCAGGGGCAGGAGCACCCGGCTGAAGCTCGGGCGATCGCACACACGCCGACAGAGTCGGCGGATTTGGGACCACGTTCTGTCTGAAGGCGTGGACTTGGCCGCAAAAAGGAATGCATCTTGGGCTCGATTCGGGCGATCGCAAACATGGATCAAGGGCGCGTGGATGAGCGACGGGTCCCGCTTCCAGGGGAACGCGCGGATTTCCGCCGCCGAGCGAGGCGGCACCGGCCGCACTTTGGGGAGGGCACCTCCCCCGATGCATGGATGTGGCGACCGCGCGCCGAATCCATGGATCGCTAATCCATGTTTGCGCGCCCCGAGAAGCGTGCGCAGCTTGGCTCGATTGCCTCGGCTGGAGTGCCCAGTGGTGTGAAGGGCGTGGTGCCAAAAGTCCAAGACGTGCAAAGAAGTGCTCGCCAACCAGTTCTGGAGATGCAGTGAGGGAAACCAGCATGTCACGCCGCATCTTCGATGCTGGTCGATTTGGATCGCGATTCGTTCCACTCCAACGTCGTCGATGTCAGGAGCGACAGAGGGACGCACACGCACAGGAATCCACGTCGGTTGAGGGTACGCATTGCGCGAGCGTTCGTACCACGCGGCCAGTCCGGCGGCTTGGGGGACCGTGCTCACGTAGGTACGTGGGTTGGAGCGTACTCCGAGTTTCTTACCAAGCGTCGGGGGGGGGGCGTCGCCCCCGCCGACAGCCCCGCATCGACCCCGTCGCGGGCAGCCACCGCGCGCCGAAGGCGCTCAGGCCCCCGTCGCGGCGCGACGACGAGGCGGCGTGCACCCCCTTTTGGGGGGGGGGTACCCCCCCCCCCAAGGGGGGGAAATCCTCCTTGGGGGGATCCCCCTTGGGGGGGGGGGTACCCCCCAAGGGGGAGGTATCCCCCTTGGGGGATCCCCCACGCTTATGAAGCAACCCGGCGTGCGCCCTCCGAGGGCTCCCCACGGTGCATCGCCGAGTCACCGGCGCTGCGGTAGTCGACCCTCCGGCCCGCCGCCGGCTCGGGCCCCGCGGTGGCGGCCTGCCGTCCTGGAGCCCCGGCCGGCGCCGCGCCTCTCTTTCTCGGAGCGTGGGGGCCTCCAGGGGTGTCGACCCCCCTTCCCAGGACAGCGTTTCTATTCATTCTGGGGGAGCGAACAATGACATAGACATGACAGCGCGCGGATGCCGGGCCTCGGAGGACACGAAGATGCTCACGCGCGGGGGAACATAGAACTCGGAGGTCCGCGCGGATTTCTCGGATCGGCGCTGCGGCCCCATGGCAGCGCCTCTGGCGCCGCCCCTGGCGCGCTCCGCGCGCCAGGGAGAGGGGTCCAGCGCGGATCCAAGAACTCCGCGCGGACCTCCGAGTTTTTATGTGTATGCCATTTTTCGTTCCCCTACATTCGGGCCGTTTTTCTGACCGTCCTTGGGCCCCCAGAGGCAGAAACTTGCCCAAAAGCCTCCCGTCGTGCTTGATGTTAACGACAAGAGGAGATGGTTGGTCGTGGAACATGATCAGGCAGCGCCAGGAATCACTTGGAGGAGACTCTAGTCGCGCACGCCGCCAGGGCTGGTGGCCCCGAAGCGGGCTGGGGAAGGAGGCCCGTTGGGGTGAGGCGGAGCTCACGTCGTGGAGCGCCGCCTGGTCGCCTTCGGCGGGTCCAGGGCCTCTGTTGCGCCCGCCTGTGGTTCTCTCTGCCCGGCAGGCTGGGGATGTCAGACCTTGGCCAGCGCCTGGCCGGCCCCGTCCTCGCCCGCCCGCCGCCAGGACTGAGTCCGAGGAGGAACAGGTACCCATACCGCTGCCCAATATTTGCTGTGCAGTTTTACTATCTGTTTCTGCTCATCTTTGGGCCTCCTGGGAGGCTCTCGTCGCCACGGCTGGATTCGCCTCGAGCTCCCGGGTCAGAACGCATCCCGTGAGAAGTCCGAGGCGCAGCGGTGTCGGGGCGCGAGAGTCTCCCGCCTGGCCCTGCGTTGACAGCAGCACGCGCGGTCGAAGAGCAGCGGGACAGGGCAGGGCTCCAGAGGCAGAGCAGCGTCGGGCGACGCAGCGACAAAGCACGATGACCACGGATAACTACGCATCATGACGGCCACACACACACACACGCGCACACACACATATATATGTATATATGTATATATATATATATATATATATATATATATATATTGACGCAAGTTGCATACACACGGAGCGTGCGTACATCATTCACGTAACTAGTACGAACCAACGGCATGCGATGAACGCGTGCACAAGGCACGTGCAACACACATGTGGGAAGGACAGGTGCACATGACACATTGCATTGGTAGAAACACAAGCCGTTTTAATCGTTTCGCTGATTCCGCTGGCCCGTATTGTGCCATCGCGGGCGTTTGCTTGCGCGTCCGTGGCCTCTTGGGGCCTCTCGGGGGCCTTTCTGGGTCCTCTTGCGGTTTCTTGTTGGGCCTCCTGGGGGCCTCATGGGCCCTTAGGGGGCCCTCCTGGGCTCTCCTGGGGCCTCTTGGGGCGTCCTGGGGGCCCCTTGGGGCGGAGGCTCGAATTGGTGGTTCGTGTTCCCCTTCTTGGGCCCCTCCTTGGGGCCGTCTTGGGACCCCCTTGGGCGATCTTGGGCGCCTCTGGGGCCGTTTTGGGGCTCTCTTGGACCGTCGTGGGGCCCTCTTGGGGGCCTCTCGGGCCGTCGTTGGGCGGTCTTGGGGGCCTCTGGGGCCATCTTGGTCGAAGCGTCGGAAGCCCGAAAACGCGAGCACGCCAAAAACATGGAAAAGCAAACGCACAGGAAACATCAAAAGATGTTTGCTTCTTTTGGCTCTCTTTGGGGTCATCTTGGAGGGCTCTTGGGCCGTCTTGGGGCCATCTTGGGCGTCTTGGAGCGCTCTTGGGCCGTGATTCCGATTCGTGGGCCCTTTCGGAGCTGCCTTGAGGTTCATCGGGCCGCTCCTGAGGCGATCTGGAGGGCCTCGAAAACCGCCCCAGGGAGTTCCGGCATCCTTGAGCGGACCTTGACAGGACCTTGCCGGGACCTTGCCGGGAGTCGGCTGGGTAATTATAATCTATTTATACTCTGTGAGCCCGTTATTGGAGATTTAAGCACGCTTCTGGCCCGTTGGGTGGGCGAATTCAGAAACCTGACGCAAAGCGATTGCATATACAATTTCAAGGACACGTGCCCATCTCATTTACAATAGTCAGACACTGGACAGGCTCAGAGAACCGACCGTTTTATTGTTGATAAAGACCTGGTTCAACTTACACCTCACAACTCAGTACATGTAATAAGCCGGACAGCTGGCGTATACGACCAGCATGTACGACAGGCGTACGCACATGATTGACACAAAGTGCAGGCAATCGGTTCGAGAGCAGACATCATGACACAAGGGACAACCGTTGGTGAAGTGGAGGCTCGCTGAACAGACGTCACGGCATCACGCCAAACAAGGCAACAAAGAATTGAGGCATCGGCTTCATGGCGTTGCGCTCGCCTTGCCATTGAAATTGATTTGCAAAACAGCGTGCGCGAGTCAGGGGCACAAGTGAGCGACAGAGTGAAATGGCACAGCAAAGACAGACCCGTGACGGCATTTATGATACGAGCAATTTTGCGATCACATCGAGTTGGCGCTGGACAGACGCCGCGGCGCCACGATGTCACGCTAGCCCCTCCAAACAGCACGAACGAGCGAGCGGTGAGGATCCTGTCGAAGCAACCTCGATGATGTGTGTGTTGCTCCTCGTGCTCTTGCAGGCCCTCGAGTGGCTCCCTCCCCGCCACCGCCTGGCTCGGGACGCTGGCCATAGGGCACGTCTTGGGGGGCCAGGGGTGGACGGGGTGCCCGGCTGCCGATTGACGGGCGGCGTGGGCCCCTGGTTGAAGCAGCTGGATGGGGAAGCGGAGGGGGAGACGGGGGGAGAGTGAGAAGGAGGGTGCAGGCGGTAGGAGGAACGGGAACGGCGGGGGAGAAAGAAGGTGGAGGAGGAGGAGGAGGAGGAGGAGGAAGAGGAAGAGGAGGAGGAGCAGGAGGAGCAGCAGGAGCAGGAGGAGGAGGATGATGATGATGAGGAGGAGGAGGAGGAGCAGGAGGAGGAGGAGGAGGAGGAGGAAGAGGAGGAGGAGGAGGAGGAGGAGGAG